GCCATCTCCTCGTTGGATGTGCCTTTAGAGAGAAATGCAGGGATTACATAATGAAAGAGTTTCTATTTTCGATTTGAATTATTTCGTTTTAAAGTAGTAATTTAAAGCTTTCTATATATTTTTTATCATGTCTGTGAGGCAATTAGCGGAGTTTAGATTCATCATTGTGAAGTGCTCCTGTTCAAGATTGGTCTATAGATGATCAATTCACTGTCTGCCGCTGGCCGTTACTTTAAAAAAAAACATATTAACGAACAAAAAATGCTCCAAACGTTTTTCTCAACTTACTTTATAAAAAAAAATCAACAAAATTTCCATTACATACAAAACTGAACTATTTTAATAGCTGAAACAGTAGTATAAGCTTTTTTTGGGAAAAGGGGAAAAAGACGGGCTTGGGCCGATTTGAGACCCCTGCAGGGCTCTAATCCACTTCATCCAGCGCTGTTTTGTTCTTATCTGTGAGCATGCTCTTGATATATGTATTTTACCATTTTGTTAAGTTTAAAACGTGTGACACTTTAACAAAAAAGGAACCTCAAGGTTGATCTAGGAAAATGTGTGAAAATGTATAGGGCCCCATTCCTATATTTTGCCTGGGGCCCCCAATTCACTAAATCCGCCCCTGACGATGAGCGCTTATCAGGATCAACTAAACGCTGGATTCTCAAAAGTATGTGAAATATTTCAAGTTCGCGGCATAGAATCTTTAAAATACGTCCGAGAGTTTTACACACCGGTCTGTTATTGTGGCGACATTTCCACGCCCCGAAACGTGACGCTGAAACGAAACGAACTGTGATTGGTTGTTTGGCATGTCGGTCAAACGGCCTTGGCCAATGAAAGCTGCCATGAATTCCAGACCTTCAGCCGTCAGTCACGCGAGACTAGTACTGACCTGGATAAAGGTCAGACAGGGAATGACCTCATTAAAACATTTGCTGTACATTAAACTGTGATCACTGCTAAAATCACACATTTCAAGTGGCATTACAAACGGTGTTTTCTTTCTTGTGTTTACATGGACAGTGACTTACTACTTGCTTGTATAAAGACATTCTCATTCTAGAGAGCATTTGATTGGATAGAAATTTGGATACACCCCTGAGTGCATGATGAGTCATCAACATATTTATAATTGCATATTTTACCTGAAACATCGTTGTAAATGTGTCATTATAGTGTGTTCCAGTTGTGAAATCTCAGATGTTTTATTTTTTCATAGAACAATTTCAAGTGAAATGTGAAATTGTTGTCAAGTACACTGGAAATGAATAAATATATAAACAATGTGTTAGATGCACAAGGTAAATTCATTAATAAATCATTCTTATTTCTGCACTATCATGTAAAAAAATCAAACTGCACTATCATGTAAAAAAAATTATAATAAGGGTATACAGTAAGACATACATTATTAATTATATTATTAATATTTTATCAGATTAAGCTGCAAGTTCATCATTTTGCATGCAGTAAAAGTGCTGTGCTTGCTTTAATCTTGCAACACTGGAGAAAATAATGTGTCATAATAATATCAAACTGAACTGTGACTTGCTACTTGCTATTTCTAGCCAGAGGAATGTGGTATCGGTGGAGGGACGTTCTCATTCTAGAGAGCATTTGATTGGACAAAAATTTGGACACACCCCTGAGTGCATGATGAGTCATCAATGTTTGCATTTGTTTACTCGGAAGAGAAAGACTACATTTTAAATGTGTATATCTTCCGAAAGATGGTTTTATGTTGACAAATGCTTCCTTAAAGCATTTCTTCAAACTTTGTTCTCTGTGTGTCTTTCAGGAAATAAGTCCCTGGACAGCGGCATTGCCGAGATGGAGGAACTTCCTATTCCCCAGAACATCAAAATAAGCAACATCACATGCGACTCCTTTAAGATCTGCTGGGATATGGACTCCAGGTCCAAGGAACGCATAACGCACTACTTCATCGACCTCAACAAGAAAGAAAACAAGAATGCCAACAAGTTCAAACACAAGGTGTGTGTACACAGCAGCTCTATATTCACTCTGACCTGATCTTCAGTAACGTTCTCAGGTTCATGTGTTTGCAGAGAGTGAACTGCAAGAACACGACTGTCTAATCTCATTTATTATCTGTCTCCTCTAGGACGTCCCCACTAAACTGGTAGCGAAAGCTGTTCCTTTGCCCATGACAGTGCGAGGACACTGGTTCCTGAGTCCACGCACTGAATACACTGTGGCCGTTCAGACCGCGTCCAAACAGGGTGATGGAGACTACGCTGTGTCAGAATGGAGCGAGATCATTGAATTCTGTACAGCCGGTGAGATGCACATTCATGCTTGAAATATTTGAACACAGGGTTTCCCAAATGGGGAAAAGCTAATAATAAAAAATATATCAAATGTAAAATTAAAGTATATAAAAGGGGCAGCACAATAATTATCATTTATACGGTCTTTTTCACTTCCAAAAACGGTATACTACCGTAAAATTTATGTCCAATACATGTAATGTCCAATACAGTTTTACACCGTATATAGTAGGGGAATTTACCGTTAACCATTTAACAAATTCACGGTCATTTTTTACAGTGTAGCTTAGTGAGAATCAAATGTTGCAATTTAATGTGCTTATATAGTCAGCTCCATCTCTGCATGTACTGTAAGTTTAATGTGCATTTGGGAATGCAAGGTGTGAAGGGTTATTTACACATTGGTATAATTTCCAAAATTTTGGAAATACAGTTTACAGCATTTCACCAGTATTCCACCAAAATAAAAGTTATATATAATATAAAAATAAAATAAAAGGATTTGTTAAAAGCTTGAGAGGTTGAAAATATAAAATTATACAAGCTTATATAAATGTGTAGTGTAAAGTAAAATTATTATTATAAATATTATCAAACATTCAATAGTTTATGGCAGTAATATAGTATATATAATTAGATGTAAATAATATTAATAATAATAAATTATTCCTAAAACAACAGTGTGAATCCAGCTACAAAATGCAGTTACATATTCATAAAAACATTTACTAAAAAAAGATTAAATATTTGATCTATTTACTTACATATCATGTAACCATTAACCAACATCAGAGAAGTGTGAATATGCAAATGTGTTATTAAATAATTAAAAATATATCTATACTTAAAATCTCTGGGGGTACTTCATGTAAACATTTTTTATTTATGGGGAAGATTGGGGATCGCTGCTTTAAAGTATTGTTGATATGACCTCCATGAACCTATTTAGGCCATTAATGGCTCATCATATTGACTCTCTCCAAGACTTTTATTTATTTATTTTGTTTGTTTGTATCTACAGATTATTCCACTGTTCATCTCACACAGTTACTGGAGAAAGCCGAGGTCATTGCCGGCAGAATGCTGCGGTTCTCAGTCTTTTATCGAAACCAACACAGAGAGTACTTTGACCACACAAGGTATGTTTCTACAGGGAAACCAACACTAAATTATTAAAGGAACAGTCAGCTTTATTTCCAAACCTCTATGACACCTTTCTTCTGTGGAACAAAACAGGTAAAATTCTGAAGAACTTCCCTGCCATTCTTTTCCATTTACAGTAATAAATGTGGCTTAGGTCTGTAAATTTCAAAAAGAAGCATCACTGGTATCAGACCAGTCCCCTTTCACTTGTATAATTAAAAAAGGCTCCAGGATATTCTTCAGAAGTAAGTCACATAGATTTAGTACAACATGAGGGTATGTACTGTAAGTGATGACAATTTTCATTTCATATGAATATTCATTTTCTTCCTATTAGAAAATCCCCGAATCCTGAAGGTTTTGTTTTTTTTTATTAAAATGTTCTCTCTATTGCAAATTATCTTTCTAATTTTGAATTTACTTTTATGTATTCCTGTGATTTACAGTAAATGTCTTCTATATTCAACTAATACAGTCCTGTATAGTATAATTTGATGAAAACAGCCATTAAATCAGTCTTTATAGCAGAAAAGACCATTTATGCTGTTGAATTTAATGCATCTAAGGCGATATAATAAATCTATAATGAGTTTTTCCAAGTATAAAGTGAATATGATTTTAAATGTAAGAGGCACTGTGGAATCAAATTAAACCCATCTGAAAAGGCTCACTGCAGTCTAAAGTAGTGAAGGGGGGAGGTGGGCATTCATTTCCCTTCAGAAATCAATATATTTTTTTTATATGACTCTAGTTTGTGTATCTAAATGTACCACTTCATCTTACTTCACTGAGTTTTACAATATTCATGGTCTTGCTTTATTCAAAAGTAATTAAATTCGGTTTCACATCAGTGAGTGAAAGTCTATTGTTGTTGTACTTGCCCCATGCAAAACTCAAAGATTAATTCCACACAGACTAGATATCTGGATTATAAATCATGCGTTTCAACCTGTTTATATCATTTCCGTTTTATTTACCACATTAACAATAAAGATCAGGTCTAACCCTGAGGTGATAGTAAAAAGGAAAAAGGTTTCTGATCAGCCTGAGAATTAATAAGAAGACAGTTAATAATGATAATTTACATAAAGACTGGTTTTTATTGTTTACAGAATAAAAAAAAAAATGAAAAAGATTATTGTGATCGTATAATTCGTATATGTCTAGCAATTCTGATTTCTTTTGATTTAACATCTACCAATTTTTACTTTTTAATTGCAAGACAAACTTGAACGGTGAGATATGGAGTCAGAATTCTGTTATAAACAATTCTGAGAACGTTTTTGCTAAATAATTGCAATATATAAAATCGGAAGTGCGAGAAATTAAGTCAGAATTGTTATAAACATTCCATTTTGAAAGCAAGTCTGAATTGTGAGAAATTAACGCAAAATAACTAAAATAAATCAATACAAATTTTGTGAGATATAATGTCAGAATTGTGAGATAAAAAGTCACAATTTCCTTTTTATTTTCTTATTCTGATGGAAACGGGCTTCCATAGATTGTAAAAAAGATCTTTCTCCCAAACAAGTGTTATCTCACCCTATCATGAACCTATAGAGAACAAAATCGTCACTTCCTGATAAACTGGCACTAAATATCTCTAAGAAAACTAGGAGAAGCCACTGAATATACTACTTTTCATATGTAATAAATTACTTGCGCTTCAGAGAGAGTAGACGTAACAAAATAAATGCGGTCATTGCTTTTAGAGGTGAATGCCTGCTGTTTGGGAACGCAGTCATTTAAGACAGTAATTATACAGAAATACTTTAATGTCAGTCTTTCCTCAGGCATTTCAGAACGACCAAAACAACATATAGAAGCTGTGAACTAGATCTGTCCTCTGGTTAGTCAAGTTATCCCGTCTCATAGCGCAAAGTCACATGACTTTTTCAATACGCATGGTGGAATTTATTCGGTAAATGTGTTTCTGATAATCCAAAATGCGCATAAAAATAGGTGGATGGAAACAGCTACTGTTTTTCAGAGAAAAACAAAAGGAGACATTTAGCAGAATGTTCAATGATTCTCAGTGGTCCTTGAGAATCATGGTCTTTTTTAAATCATTTGATAGCTTTGCTATTACTTTTCCAGTTTCTGAATTAGCTGTAGGCCTAATGTGTTCTCCAGCTAGGCTGTCCTGATTTAAGCAGGTTAGTCACTGGCATTTGAACATTAAAGCATGTCAACATATTCTGTTACACCAAATACACAAAATAATGATACGTCACCTCCATGAAGTCATTTGTTATTTACAGTGAATTTTCTTGTTGCAGGGAGGCCCAAAACAACAAGATGTTGCCATCAGTGAAGGACAACAGCGGCAGCCACGGTTCGCCCATCAGCGGGAAGCTCGAGGGCATCTTCTTCTGCTGCAACACCGAGTTCAACACGGGCAAACCCCCACAGGACTCGCCATACGGCCGTTACCGCTTCCAACTGCCAGCCGAGGAGCTCTTCAGCCCCAAGACAAACCTGTATTTCGCCGACTTCTACTGCATGTACACGGCCTATCACTACGTCATTCTGGTGATCGCGCCGAAGGGCTCGTCTGGAGATGAGTTCTGCAAGCAGCGCCTGCCAGCGCTGGATCTTGCCAACAACCGCTTTATGACGTGCTCGGAGGATGAAGACGGCCGGCTGGTGTTCCACCACGCACAGGACCTTATCCTGGAGGTCATCTACACCGACCCCGTGGATCTGAGCCTGGGCACGGTAGCTGAGATCAGCGGCCACCAGCTCATGAGCCAGTCCACAGTCAATGCCAAGAAGGATCCCAGCTGCAAGACCTGCAACATCAGCGTGGGACGCTAACCTACGAAACTGAACCCTCCTGCTGCCCTGAACAGCACAGAAAATCGCCTTCTCCTTTCGCCGTCCTCCTTACCCATTATTGAACTTATCCATAATTCCTTCTGGTGTCTGGTGGAGGCTCCTCCGCAGCATGTGTCTCACAGCTTTTGACAAAATGCTTTTTTTCGTTTACTAGCTAATGGATCTTGGCCCTGGGTTTGGGTTAGATATGTCGTGCTCCTATTTTTGTGTTGGGATGTTGACCTGTCAATCGAACTGCTTCTTTAATCCTATTGGCTGTCAGACCTTCCTGTTAGAACGCAGAATTGTAACCAAAGTTTCCACAAATTTAACACTAAATGCTCATCAAGTCACTCAAATCGGTGAATCGAGACAACCGTTCTTATGAGGCATTATGAATGTGAGGATATCAAGTGAGATATCTCAAAAAAACATGATTGGACGTATCTGTAGCATGATTGCAAACATTTTTGGAAACGTTGACATTAGCACTTCCATAACGCTTCTTCAGCAGTGTTTCATGTTATCTATTCCAACCCATCCAGTATACTGTGATTTAACATATAATAAATGTGATACGACGTGTAGATAGAAAAATATTAATTTTTTAACTGGTGAATAGAAAATGGACAGAATCAGAAGTGCACAATACAGGACTTTGGTGATGGAAAAGAAAAGGTTCACGATAAAGCAAATATATATAGATAATTATATATATATATATATATATTTACTGTATAAACCAATGTAGTTACGTGCACTATAGCTAACATTCAAAAGCTACATTTGTCATTGTGGATGTGTACAGCAAATTAATTCTGGGACGACGATAACATGACAGAATAACCACACCTGATTGTAGCACAATTCAACAGTTTACGCTGGTTGGCATGCAAAGACACTACACAAAGATTGTAATAGTTCATTGCAGTAGAGCCGTCGGAAAGGAAAGATATTGATTGTTTCGTTTCCAGAGAGTAGCTACTTGAGCAGAATTGCACTTAAAGCGCACATCCGCTTCTCATGAACATATCTCCAGCTTTGGGCTTCAGTATTGTTTTTAGTGTACGACGTGATTGGACAGTGTTCGTTTTAACCAATATATCATGTATAGGAGGAAAACTGTGCTCTGTGATGGCCACGTACCATACTTTAACACGTTTTTGAGAAAAATAGATCTTTAAAAATACAATCCTTAGCTCTTCTGGGAGAATCTTTTCAATTTTGTGTAGTCTGTCTCATTTTGTGCTCCCTTTTTAATGCGAGAGACGAATATATGAGAAATGAACAATTACGTTTTGTTAGTTCATACAATGCATACAATTACGGTTTGTTGCTGCTGTATTTTTATGTTAGGGAACTCATTGAAATTTGCATAAAACCATTGTTTTAAGTGCTCTGGGTTGTTTTCTATGTAGAGCGTTGCATTATTTGACAGGCTAGAGATTGCGTCCAGCCCCAGAGAATCATGGATCCTCATTAGTGTGCATAATGTCACCATGTTCCTAATTAGAATCATAAACTAGCTCAAACGAGAGCAAGAAAACACAAAAATTGCATACGATTCGACTTTGGTCAAAAAAAATCTTCTCCAAACTAAAGTGCCATATTCCATAAACATAGATGAATCCTCTATATTTCCTTTTGCCCTTTGAAATCTGAATGAGGTTTGTATCGATCCGTCTCGCTCTGTACACAGCACAGAGATCGCACACGTTTGCGTTTATGTGATGGTAGCCACCGAAAGGCCATGATCGGTTCGGCCCAACCCACTGAGTCTAGGACTTCCAATGTGGTCAGAAATGATATTAAAGTGCATTTTAGCATCATTATGGCACAATTATGTAAAATGTTAAAACTCCATTTGGTCCAAACATTGGGTTCAACACTGAAAGGCAGAAATAATCTCTTTAACTCAGATAGTCTATGTGGTTTCCTGTTTGCTGAGCAACACTTCCAGTAAGCGTAATTTGGCTTTGAGACTTTTGTACTCCTGGTACTCCTCGGCCATGGGAATTCGGTCATCTTTTTGTGCGGTTCTTCATTATTTTGGTGGAGAGGGAAAGAAGAAACAAACAGATTCCGCATGAAACGGATGACTCTGTGAGATTCCACTACCATTAAAACACACATTTAACCCTTGAGTTGCCTTACTGTTTTGTACATCAGTGGATAGCAGATTAAATGGAAATGTATTTTATTTAAAAAACAAAATCCATATATTGTGTACAGAAACATAGTTTGTTTGGTTTTTTTCTTCCTGGTGGTATTATTTTGTGTATTATAGATGTGCATTATGCTAACTATTTTGATCTTTATTTTCCTTTTTCCTTCCTGTCCATGTTCAAAAAGACAAAAGTAACAAAATACCATTAAAATGTGTTAATGCCACAGTAACGCATCTGTGTTTTACCTTCCCATCTGTCTGAAGAACTGCTCTTCAAACTCTCTGATGGCTTTACGTCGTCTCTTCTTCTCGGCTCGAGTCTCACGCAAACACTCCAGCAACTCAGACCTGCAATTCAATTAGACACAAACAGTTTGTAAAGGAATATTTTACCCTACAGTTTATCATTAGGAAACATTTACACACCCATGTCACCCAAGGTTTTCTGTCTACACAACAGAATATATATTGCAGTATATTGTCCAGAGGGTTGCCAATTCTGCGATTTTCCTTAAGAATTTTAAACTTTTATACTGTTAGCCACAGTTTAAAGGTTTAACATGTTGTTTAAACTATGTATATTTGATAGAAATGCTTATACTGACATATTTTAGTCTACCCAATTTATATTTTACAATGATAAAACTGTGCTAGATGATGAGACACTGTAAGGAGATTTTTGTGAGAGAAAGCCTTTCTGGGCCTTGAATGTTTCAGTTGTGTGCTGTCTATGAGGGTCAGAAAACTCTCGGATTTCGTCAAAAATATCTTAAATTGTGTTCCGAAGATGAACAAAGGTCTTACGGGTTTGGAACGACACGAGGGTGAGTAATTAATGACAGAATTTTCCTTTTTGGGAGAACTATCCCTTTAAGGTATCTTAAAACATGCTCACGCAGAATAAGGCATTAAGGTTACACTTTATTTTAAGGTGTCTGTGACGAGAGGGGCGGGGCCGAGAGCCGTGGGAACGGAGCGAGGCCGGTGGAGTAATTGCTAATGCGCGACACCTGCGCCACTCACCGGTCTCGAGTCTCACGGAGGAGCTCCGGAAGGATAAAAAGGAGGAGGGACGACAGTGAAAAACGAGAGAGGACCAGGCCTGGAGTTTATTTTGTATTTTGTGTGCGGCAGTCGTCCGTGAGGGGCTGCCACTTTACTTTTGTTTTGTGTTTGTTTATTTTATTAAAATCTTTAAATGTTCGCCGGTTCCCGCCTCCTTCTTCCCGATCTGCAGACTACGTTACAGTGTCCTTGTTACATTTAAGTGCTGAGTAATATTAATTAACTACTTGTGCTTGCTATATGGGTAGGGTTAGAATTAGGGTTTGGTTCAGGGTTACTTGCATGCAATTTATTGTTATCATAATAGTAAGTACATGTAACGTGTAAAAAGGGCACCTTAAAATATGTGACCCTGCCTGTGAAAACCCAGCTAAAGCCAATTTTTTGTGATTTACTGTTTTCTACGTAAGATCATCCTTCATAAAGATGTAGAACATTCTGTGAAAATATAACCTTTATATCTTTAATATTGACTGAGTATGGCCATGTCAAAAATTTAAATCATAGTTTATGGAAATCATAATACATTTTTCAGGATTCTTCAATGAATAGTTCAATGAAGAGCATTTTTACTTAAATGGAAATGTTTTGTAACATTATAAACGTCTTTACTGTTACTTTTGATCCTTTAAAAAAAAAAAAAAAATCTTACTTAACCAAATAGCACTGTATCTAGTAATGTATACAAAGCTAAGCAGCAACTGTTGTCAACATTAATAATAATAACAATAATAATAATAATAAATGTTTCTTGTGCAGCAAATCAGCATATTAGAATGATTTCTGAAAGATCACGTGACGCTGAAAGCTGGAGTAATGATCAGTCATCAAAGGAAAAAATTACATTTCAAAACAGTTATTTTAAATTGCAATACTATTTCACAATATTACAGTTTTACTGTATTTTTAATCAAATAAATGCAACCTTGGTGAACAAAAAAGGCCTATCTCAAAAACATTTAAAAAATGATTTTAACTATTTGACTGGTAGTGTATGTGTACTGTATGCACTGCAGTATATAATAACACTTACTATAGTTGTAATAGTGGGAGTCGCACACAGGAGATGTTTCACCATCTGGTATCTATCATAGAGAGGTTTTACCAGGTTTTTCTCTTGTTTGGTGCCCTACGGAGACAATATCACATTTTGTTCAAATATTAATGCTATAATCCGTATCCGTATCTAATTAACTAGAACATTTCTGTATTTAAATGAGAAAAACCTCTTACAGGGCGGCCGTGTAAGCTCTCAAAATTCAGCAGACATTTTTGCAGAGTGATCTTCTCCAGGGCCATCTGTCTTTGGGTCATCTCCTGTGGACAGAAGAGCGTGTGTTGAGTTAATCACCGCAAACCCTGGTCGCACAAGCACACAGTCAAATCCCCACCCACCCGAACAGAATGCATCCGCAGATGGCTTCACCTTCATGTTGTCTGGGAGGCCGAGGGCCTGGCGTTTCTCCCGTAGTCGTTTCAGGAGTGTGTCCACCGTCTCCTCCAGAGAGGGCTTGTGCTGCTGCTCTGGCGTCTCCTGCTGGCCGTTGGTGTACCTGCAAATATCTGTGGACTGGTTGTTCTCATGTGTCCGGGATTCCTCAAATGTCATTCTAAGCTAAATGATTTTAGCAAATGGCTGCAATATAACAAAGAGTGAAAAATTTAAGGGGGTCTGAATACTTTCCGTACCCACTGTATATATATAAAATCATATGTAACTATTTTTTAACTTTTAACTAATATTGACAACAAAATTTTAAATATATATATCATATTTTAAATTTTGTTGTCAATATTAGTTAAAAGTTAAATGTGTGTGTATGTATATAAAATACAAATTATATACATATATATATATATATATATATACATATATTATATAAAAAATATAAAAAATTCTCTCAATTTCAATTTCTCTTTAAAAAATATATATTAAAACATATATTAAAATGTTAGAAAAAACTGAAATTCGTTTGTTTTTTAATTTTTATATTCAAAATTTTATTTTTATATTTTTTAAATAACATTTAGCATTATTAACATTATCATTATTATTAAAAAAACATCTAAGATTGACAACAAAATTTGAATCTACTCATTATGCATTTATGTTTGACTCTTTTTTTAAAGATAAGGTAAATCTGAACATGGGTTCACAGACATTACAATAAAATGTATAAGAATGTCCTGAGAGCCATGTAACAATTAATCTTTTAAAATTGTTTAAATTAATAAACTGGCCCATGAATTACGTTTTATTATTCGGAGTGGCAGTTTTACCTTTGAGCTGCTTGCGAGACCTGGCTAGTTCACTAATGAGCTTGAACATCTCAGGATTGGCCGATTTATCATTATGTGAAGGCTGTGGGTGAGAACAGGTACAAACTCAATTCAGGAGCTGTAACTTCTTATCTGGAATCATATGTAGGCCTACACTATCATATATGACCAATGATTCTCTTGGTTATCTAAATGAAATCACACGGCACAGTAGTACGATTCTTCTCCAGTAGAGGGCACTAAACAACAACTTTAAATGTTGAACTCAATGTCGAATTGTTCATGAAATACAGTATATCCAGGATTTTTTTTTATTCTGACCTTATAGTTCATTTCGTGCTCAAAGCGCTCCTCAAACCTGCGTATTTTCCTCTTGAGAGTTTGGATGTGTTTGGTGAGGAGTGGGATGGAAGTAGCTTCCTTTGCGTCTCCAGGAACCTCTGTTCTAACAACTCCACGAGCCCTAAACAGAAGAAAACAGACACACATATAAACAGACTTGTACAACTACAAGGATCATATAGACCAGGCTACGTTAATCGGATTAATAAAACTGTAAAAATGCAAAGCTGAAGTTACTCCAGTCTTCAGTCTCACGTGATTCTTCAGAAATCATTCTAATATGCTGATTTGCTTCTTAAGAAACATTTATTATTGTCAATGTTGAATACAGTTATGACGCTTAATGTTTTTTGTGGATACCATGATACATTTTCGGGATTTTTTGATGGATTTAGGCTATTTGAAATAGAAATGTGTTATATACTTAAAATAACATATGTAACATATGTGACCTTGGACCACAAAACCAGTCTTAAGTGTCAATTTTTCAAAATTGATATTTATACATAATCCGAAAGCTGAATAAATAAGCTTTCCATTGATTTATGGTTTGTTAGGATAGGACAATATTTGGTCGAGATACAACTATTTGAATATCTGGAATCTGAGGGTGCAAAAAAATCAAAATATTGAGAAAATCGCCTTTAAAGTTGTCCGAATGAAGTCCTTAGCATTGCATATTACTAATCAAAAATTATGTTTTGATATATTTACAGTAGGAAATTTACAAAATATCTTCATGGAACATGATCTTTACTTAATATCCTAATGATTTTTGGCATAAAAGAAAAATCGATAATTTTGACCCATACAATGTATTGTTGGCTATTGCTACAAATATACCCCAGCGACTTAAGACTGGTTTTGTGCTGCAGGGTCACATATTATACATTTAACATTACAAACTTACTGTCACTTTTGATCAATTTAATCATCATTTAAACTCAAATAAATTTTCTAAGCAGCCATGTAATCTTGTGTCCTGTCCAGTTTATTCTACTCTATAACATTATTTGTCCTAATAATGTATGGATCTATTAGTACTATTAACTACTAGTACAGACCTAGTGAGTCAGAGTGAGGACATCATAAACACCAAGAAACAAACAAACATAATTTTGGAAAAGTCATTGCCTATTTCCCATCTCAGCATACACACACACACACACACACACACACACAATATAGGCTGCCACAGATGTCTGTTTCCATCACTACAGCATTAGTCAGCAGGAAACTCATGTTAATAATGAGAAATGAAAATCAGGTTTACAAAGTGGGTCACTGTGTTACTAGCTGCAGCCGGCTGATTCTGAGACTTGCTCTCCAGGAAAAGGGAAAGGAGGTATTTCGACTGAACAGGCCAACCGAAAGAGCTGTGTGTGTGTATGCGTGGTTCAGGTATACCCTACTGTATGTTAGAGGGACAAAATATTCAAAATCCTTGTCCTTGTGGAGAAATGTCTTCGGTCCCCACAAGGAAAACAGCTTATAAATCATATAGAATGATCTTTTTTGAAAATCTAAAAATGCAGAAAGTTTTATGTGAGGGGTAGGTTTAGACTAAGGGGATAGAAAATACAATTTGCACTGCATAAAATAATTACATCTATGGAACGTCCCCATAAAACATGGAAACCCAACATATGTGTGTGTGTGTGTGTGTGCTCGTACATGATGAGATGCTGTGCGCAGGGTGGAGATGGGGCAGATTCAGGGTCTGTGTTGAAGCGTTGGCTCTGGCTGAGGCTGGAGCAGCGTGGGGAGGGCAGGGGGCTGTTGTCATCTGTGATGTGCTGGATGAGTCGACTGGGCCCCGGGCTCTGCTGGAGATCACTGCTACAGTCACCCTCTGCCAGCCTACAGTCTGAACACACACACACACACACACACACACAGATCAGAGTCCCATGCTGGGATAAAAGCAGTGTGTCTGAGGGCTGCTAACCCTCGGATTACGATTCAAACTGAGCAATTCATCTGGAAAAGACAGAAGATTTTCTCACAGTTGCCTGATATCCAATCTGATCCATTTCAAATACAACTAAACAGTTCAATTCTCTGAAAAAAAAAGTGAGTGGTGCTTGCTGTGCAAAATCTGCCAGCACGATTCCAAAGTGTTGTGCGTGGTTGCCAGGGTGTTTATATGTGGCTGCTAAGATGTTCTGAGTGAATGTTAATGTGTTGCTATGAAGTTGCTAGGTGTTAGGGACAGTTGCTAGGAGTTCCTGTACAGTTTCAAATGTGTTCTGGGCTGTTGCTAGGGAGCTGCTATGTGTGAGTGGTTGCCAGGGTGTTTATATGTGGTTGCTAAGATAGTCTGAGTGAATGTTAATGTGTTGCTATGGAGTTGCTAGGTGTTAGGGACAGTTGCTAGGAGTTTCTATATAGTTTCAAAGGTGTTCTGGCCTGTTGCTAGGGGGCTGATATGTGGTTGGTAATGTGTTCTGAGTGGGTAGTTACTGTGTTGCTTTGCAGCTGTTAGACGTTCTGGGCTGTTTCTAGGGAGTCGCTATGCAGTTGCATATGTGTTCTGAGTGGTTGTTATTGTGTTGCTATGCAGTTGCTAAGATGTTGTGGGTGGTTGCCATGGTGATTACATGTGGCTGCTAAAATGTTCTGAGTGGATGCTACTGTATTGCTATGTATGTTATCTGCTGTTGCCAGGGTGTTGATATGTGTTGCTTAAGTGTTCTGAGGGGTTGTTATTGCATATGGTTTCTAGGGTGTGCTTCAGTTAGCTCTCTAGTTCAATAATAAGTACACTACCAAGGCAGTGAGCCATTACTAGGGCTGTTCCATTATCAGAAACGTATCTACTGCACTGAAATGTTTGTTACTTAAAAATGAGCTCAGTAACTTTATAAACTAGTGAGAATAGATGGCCCTTGCTAACGAATTTGTTTCTGTAATATACTGACTTACGAGTTGCTAAGTTGGTTGCTAGGGTATTTTAAACTCAGTGCTTAGTGGCCCAAGTTTAAAAAGGCCTGTCCCAAAAAATTTATGATATTCTTTTTTTTTTTTTTTTAAGATAAAGCTTGAGGCTCTATAGGACTTTTCATCCTTTTTTAGTTGTCTACAAGGAGAAAATCATAAATCTGGCTGGTTAGAAATGGTGTGACGTGTAATGGTGTAAAGTAAAAAAACTTTAACTTCGTACTTTAACTTCGTAAAAAGAGCAATGAGATCTTTTAATACAATTTTTGGGATAGGACACCTTAATTAATCAAAACGCAGAAGTTTTGTAGCATGATTATTAATAATGCAGTTCTGAGGGGTTGTTATTGCATATGGTTTCTAGGGTGTGCTTCAGTTAGCTCTCTAGTTCAATAATAAGTACACTACCAAGGCAGTGAGCCATTACTAGGGCTGTTCCATTATCAGAAACGTATCTACTGCACTGAAATGTTTGTTACTTAAAAATGAGCTCAGTAACTTTATAAACTAGTGAGAATAGATGGCCCTTGCTAACGAATTTGTTTCTGTAATATACTGACTTACGAGTTGCTAAGTTGGTTGCTAGGGTATTTTAAACTCAGTGCTTAGTGGACCAAGTTTAAAAAGGCCTGTCCCAAAAAATTTATGATATTCTTTTTTTTTTATTTTTTAAGATAAAGCTTGAGGCTCTATAGGACTTTTCATCCTTTTTTAGTTGTCTACAAGGAGAAAATCATAAATCTGGCTGGTTAGAAATGGTGTGACGTGTAATGGTGTAAAGTAAAAAAAATTTAACTTCGTACTTTAACTTCGTAAAAAGAGCAATGAGATCTTTTAATACAATTTTTGGGATAGGACACCTTAATTAATCAAAACGCAGAAGTTTTGTAGCATGATTATTAATAATGCAAATTCACCATTCATACTGACTCAAGCAAACCTCAGCATTCCACACTTTTCCAAAAAGAACAATAGTAGACACAAATGAAAACAAAGATGCAGAGAGACATCTGGAAGTGAACAGAGTGAACAAATGACAAACTGCTGAGCTTAACACACACACACGAACACACTGAAACCTGAGTCACCGTAAACTCTCTGACCCATTGAAACCTGAACAAGACAATCCACAGACTGAGGCATATAGTGATTGTGAACCAAAAACGTTAACAAACGGTGGCTTCAGTAGTTCACTTAAGCTTCAAAATGTACACTACCATTCAAAAGTTTGGGGTCAGTACTTCGTGTATGCGTTTGTGAAAAAATAGCATTTTTAAACTGATCAAAAGTGACAGTAAAGACATTTATAATGTTACAAAATATTTCCATTTTAAACAAATGCTGTTCTTTTAAACTTTCTATTCACCAAAGAATTCTGGAAGAAAAAAAAAAGTTTCAACAAAAACATTAAGCAGCACTATTTTCAACACAAAATGATGATAATAATAATAATAATAATAAATGTTTCTTGAGCAGCAAATCAGCATATTAGAATGATTTCTGAAGGATCATGTAACATTGAAGACTAGAGTAATGATGCTGAAAATTCAGCTTTGCATCACAGGAATAAATGACATTTTAAAAATGTTTCAAATATAAAACAGTTGTTTTACATCGTAATAATAATATTAATGTTTTTATTGTATTTTTGATTAATTAAATGCAACCTTTTTGAGCATAAGTGACTTCTTTCTAAAATTTTCAAAAACACTTTTGAACAGTAGTGTATAAATGTCACTTCATTAGATGAAATTACATGCTTACTAAAAAAAAATACTTCATGGTTGTCAAAATCACCTGAACATATACTACTGTACACCTGTGTTTACTCTGCTAGGACGAGAGCTCAAAAATGACCAGCTGGTTAAAAGTAACTGCTCAGAAGAGTGAAGTTTGCTCTGAAGAAAGCTCCAGCATCATTTGTTAGCTTTTAGAGCAGATAAAAATCAGTGCAATGACGTATGCAAGAGGTAGTGCATAAAGAATCTCGCCAAGCTGTGGGATGAATACATGTGCTTGTGTGTTAAAGTCGTGCTGTGAGGAGGTGCCTGCGATCTCAGTGCCTGCGTTATTAATAGATGCCAGTGTGAAGCGGCTCGGGCAAGTGACTCACATGTGCCCAAAAAACAAGAGCCACCTTCTTCACAAAACCCATAAACAAATAAGCCCAGCCCTCCTATCAGTCATGTTAGTCGGTCAGTGGGATTTCATATCAGCAGACCATATTCATTCATTCATGCAACGTAGCAGCCCACCATTCATTCTGACCATTAGGCACTCATATGCTATACCCATAAAGCACTGCCGGCTCTCTTACCTGGTGAGCTGTGCTCTTGCCCAACGTCATTGCATGAAGGAATCAGGATTTCGTCTTTGAATCCCAGGCTGGGTGGACTTTCTTCGGGAGAGGTGTCTGAAGAAGGGCTGGTGTCTCCCTCCAGAGCCTGGAGCTTCAGCAAAGAGCCCTGCCGGCAGAAGCAGAACATGCCGGCTTCAGCTTTCGGAGCGCAAGAGGAAGATCGTTCAGCACACGTCGAGCGGAGAAGAAGGATGCCACTGCAGTCTCACACGCCCCTCTGCTCTGCCTCCATCAGCCCTGCTCGCGATACACGCATGTGTGTGTGTGTCCGAGTGTGTGCGTATGTGCACGAGCGAGGCTTGTGATCACGTCCCTCTCTGCTGCAGTTCTTTATCTGGCATGGATTATTCATGCCACTCTTTTAGTGGCGAAAAAGGAGCACGAGAGAGAGAGAGAGAGAAGAAAGGGGGGTCTTCTGGCGTCAGCAAGCCCTTTAGCAGACTGGCTGAAGCTGGTTCCTCTGATAGGAGAACAGGTGTGGTTGGAAGGAGAGGGGCGGCGAGTGCATACGGACGGATGCGTAGGATACGTGGAGGAGGGAGGCGGTTATGAAGGCTTTTCCCGCATCTGGAGGTGGGGGGGGGAGGTTCTCACTGAGAGTATTGACATCATGGCCCCTCCCAGCATCCATTCATAAAATAGAAAACAGCCCAACGCAGCTGCAGGCAGCAGAATCATGCAGCTCCGAGATGTTACGGATGCATATACGCACGTATACTGATGTCAGAAATGTGCTGTCTATATTTGTCCCAGGTATTGATTTTTAAGGTCATTTTTTATCTTTTTGAGGACATATTTTGCTTCTAATGTATAACACTGTGTCCATTAAGGTTTTTCACAGTGATGGCATAAAAGATCCATTTTGAGTTCCCTAAAGAACCTTTTAATGTTCTTAAAATAATTTTTTTTTTTTCTAGTGTGAAGAACATTTTATAAATCTAAAGAACCTTTTGTGGAATGGAAAGGTTCCATGACTTAAAGGTTCATCATAGAACCGTATATGCCGGTAAAGAACCTTTATTTTTAGATAAATAAATTTGATTGAACAACTTAAAAATAAAGGTTCTTTATTGGGATCTATGGTTCCATGAAGAACCTTTAACATTCATGGAACCTTTCCATTGCACCGAAGGGTTGGCTGGGTGGACTTTCTTCGGGAGAGGTGTCTGAAGAAGGGCTGGTGTCTCCCTCCAGAGCCTGGAGCTTCAGCAAAGAGCCCTGCAGGCAGAAGCAGAACATGCCAGCTTCAGTTTTCGGAGCGTAAGAGGAAGATCGCTTTGCACGCGTCGAGCGAAGAAGAAGGATGCCACTGCAGTCTCACACGCCCCTCTGCTCTGCCTCCATCAGCCCTGCTCGCGATACACGCATGTGTGTGTGTGTCCGAGTGTGTGCGTATGTGCACGAGCGAGGCTTGTGATCACGTCCCTCTCTGCTGCAGTTCTTTATCTGGCATGGATTATTCATGCATAAAAGATCCATTTTGAGTTCCCTAAAGAACCTTTTAATGTTCTTAAAATAATTTTTTTTTTTTCTAGTGTGAAGAACATTTTATAAATCTAAAGAACCTTTTGTGGAATGGAAAGGTTCCATGACTTAAAGGTTCATCATAGAACCGTATATGCCGGTAAAGAACCTTTATTTTTAGATAAATAAATTTGATTGAACAACTTAAAAATAAAGGTTCTTTATTGGGATCTATGGTTCCATGAAGAACCTTTAACATTCATGGAACCTTTCCATTGCACCGAAGGGTTCTTTACAGTGAAAAGATGATAAAATATTATTAAACAGTAAGAAATACAAATATTTATTTTAAGAACTGTTCACTGAAAGGTTCATTGGGGAACCTAAAATAATGGTTCAATGGAATCGCTGCAAAATTTACCTTCTGGAACCTTTATTTTTAAGAGTGCAAAAAAAATGGCTATTTTGAGAACTGTTAACTGATGTTACAAATGCATCGACGCACTTTTACCAATGTCAGAAAAGTTCCGTCTATATATATGTCAACGGTATTGATTTTCAAAGGCATTTTTATCTTTTTGAGGACACATTTACACTTAAAAATAAAGGTTCGGAAAGGGGTTTTCACAGTGATGCCACAGAAGAACCATTTTGAACAGTTCTCAAAAGAACCATTATTAGTGTGAAGACCATTTTAATAACCTGAAGAACCTTTTTCCACTATAAATAATTTTTTGTGGAATGGAAAGGTAAAGAACCTTTAACATTAATGGAACCTTTCCATTGCACAAAAGGTTCTTTAAAGAAAGAAAGAAAAATGTTTATTTTAAAGGGGTCATATGATGTTGCTAAAAATAACATTATTTTGTGTATTTGGTGTAATGAAATGCGTTTATGCGGTTTAAGGTTCAAAAAACACATTATTTTCCACATACTGTACATTATTGTTTCTCCTCTATGCCCCGCCTTTCTGAAACGCTCGATTTTTACAAAGCTCATCGATCTGAAAAGCGAGGTGTGCTCTGATTGGCCAGCTATCCAGTGCGTTGTGATTGGCTGAATTCCTCAAGTGTGTGACGGAAATGTTACGCCCCTTAACACACTGTGGTGCCGTCTCCCAGCACGGCAAGACAAAACCAATAAAACTTATTACAAACGAGGCATTTGTTGCATCCAGTGGGGACATAAATACGGATTGTAATGACTTATACTGTTTTTTTACGCG